TTATAAAAGGTGTAAGATGAACTATGAACAAGGACATGAAAAAGGTTTCACTGTTCATCCTCTGTTTTCTCCTTTTCTTGTTTCCCTGCTTGTTTGATTCTTGCAGGTAACGAAGACAACAGTGAATGGAGTTCTACATGGTATCAGAGCAGGTTTTTTGCCTTACGGCGTAGATCTGCATTTTCGGTTTCATTTTTTCAGCCATGGCGTCGTCTTCTTCGTCTCCTTCTACAACTTCGTCTCCTTCTACAACTTCGTCTCCAACTAAGCTTGCATTCAAAATCTCCGATGTTCCGATCCCGCCTCAGTTAAAATTTCTTATGTCCAATGTTAAGTCAGTGCTTAACATTCAGCTCTCTGCTGATAATTATCCACTATGGAAAACTCAAATCCTCAAGTTGTTCACTGCCAATGGATTTGAAGGTTTTTTGGATGGGTCTTCTCCGAAGCCTCCCAAGCTCCTTTCGTCAACGACTGAGCTTACATCCAATCCTGAGTACTATTCTTGGTTACTCATTGATCAAAATCTTGCTGCGGTTTTGTATTCTATCATATCTCCAACATTTCTTCCTTATGTTTTGATGCTTGATTCCTGCGTTGAAATATGGCAAACCATCGAGCGTCGTTTACAGTCGACGAATCGCTCAAGGATACTGCAGCTGAAAAATGAATTAAATCATGTTTCTATGAAGGATAAAACAATGATGCAATACTTATCTGATATCAAAGGTAAAGTTGATGCCATCGGTTCTGCTGGATTGCCATTATCCTCCGATGATATCATTATGTATACCCTTAATGGTTTGCCCACTACGTATCAAGGATTCAAAATAGCGATTCGAACCAATCTGAATCCCATTAGTCTTGATGATTTCTATGCTCTCCTGTGTAGTGAAGAGCTTAATCTAGCTGCGGAAGCCGCTCGCGAAATGTCTCTATCTTCAGACCATATTCCAGCTATGACAGCTCAACGTGGTCGTGGGCGCAATCGGAGTTATCTTGGTTGATCTTCTTTTCGTCCACCGCGTGGTCGCACCTCTGCTCGTAGTTCTCCCTCTACTCCTCCGGTTGAGTGCCAAATTTGTGGTAAATTTGGCCATTCTGCGGTCAAGTGTTGGTACCATGGTGATTTTGATTATCAATCGCCCACCTCCGCTTATTCAGCTGATCTTGCTCCATCTTCATCCGACTGGTTGCTGGACACGGGCGCTACAGCGCATCTTACATCTGATTCCAATCAGTTGAATAATTCCAAACCTTATAAAGGCCATCAGCAAGTCATGGTTGGCAACGGCGATCTCTTACCGATAACTCACACTGGTAAAGGCTTGTTACCCACTCCTAGCCGTAAGCTTCTTCTTTCCTCTCTTCATTTTGTTCCTCAATTAGCCAAAAATCTCATTTCGGTTAAACGCCTCACCACTGACAATTCCTGTAAAATTGTTTTTGATGCTCATGGATATCATATTCAGGATCCGAGGACCAACCGAACTCTCCTTCACGGTCGCTCTATTCACGGACTTTACCCTCTTAAAGCTACATCTACTCATCCTCCGTCGCTTACAGCTCTCTCAGCCATCCACTCCGACACTCAACTGTGGCATCGTAGACTTGGCCATCCGTCTCACTCGGTTCTCCGCCAATTACCAAATTACCTTACAATGTCTTCTGTTTCTTTTTCGTCTAGTCATCAATGTAATGCTTGTGATCTATCTAAGAGTCACAAGCTTCCCTTCTCTCTTTCTTCTTCAAGGTCTAGTCAAGTTTTAGAACTAATTCATAGTGATGTATGGGGTCCTTCTTCTGTTATTTCCTTACATGGTTTTAAATACTATGTCTTATTTATAGATGATTTTTCCCGCTTTACATGGCTTTATCCATTGCAAGCAAAATCTGATGTAGCCAAAATTTTTGTTCAATTTAAAAATTTGGTTGAAAATCAATTTGATAAACGTATCAAGTGTTTGCGTTCTGATCAAGGAGGTGAATATACATCTCACGTTTTTCAATCCTTTCTTGCTAAATGTGGCATTATTCATCAAGTAACTTGTCCGTACACTCCTCAACAAAATGGTGTCGCAGAACGTAAACATCGGCATCTACTTGAAACGACTAGATCGCTTCTTTTTGATGCTAACCTACCTACTCCATTTTGGCTACATGTTGTTCTCACTGCTGTCTACTTAATAAATCGGTTACCACCCATTTCAAAAAAATCTAAATCTCCCTTTCACTTACTCTTTAAATCTAACCCTGATTACTCTCTCTTAAAGGTTTTCGGCTGCTTGTGTTATCCTCTCACTCCCTCTCTTTCACTCACCAAATTTCATCCCAAATCTTTGCCATGTGTGTTTCTTGGGTATACTCCACATTCTAAAGGATACAACTGTTTTCATATTGAAACAGGCAAAATCTTCACGTCTCGTCATGTAAAATTCGTTGAGCATGTTTTTCCTTACGCTCAACTTCAATCTGTTTCCACTGTCTCTCCTTCTTCAAGTCTTACTTACACTCCTCCTACTCTACTTGTTCCTAGCTATGTTCAACAACCTTCCCCACAAACACGTTCTACTGTCATTCCCATTCCTGTATCCCGATCAACAAATAGTTCAAAACTTCTTACTACCTCACCTCCAGGTTCACCACATATCTCCAAAATTCCTTCCAGCCCCTCTGTTTCCTCCGAACCACCTTCCGTTACTCAACTCCCAGCTCCACAGCCAGCTTCCTCCCATCACCCAATGCTTACATGGCTACGAACTGGGAACCTTAAGCCTAAACATATTGTTAATATGTATGTGACTGATGTTTTCTCAGATCCTACTTGTTACACCGAGGCTGTCAAACACCTCGTATGGCGCCAAGCCATGTCAGCTGAATTTGCTGCTCTTCAACAGCAAGGTACGTGGACACTTGTTCCACCTTCTCCCGATCAAAATGTATTAGGGAGCAAATGGATTTTTAGAACAAAATATAACTCTGATGGTTCCATTGCACGACATAAAGCTAGGCTTGTTGCTCTCGGGTGCAATCAGCAATATGGTTTAGACTATTTTCATACATTCAGTCCTGTGGCTAAGCTTCCAACTATTCGTATTTTTCTCGTCATTGCTGCTACTTTTAAATGGACTGTGTTACAACTTGACATATCTAATGCTTTTTTGCACGGTGCTCTTACTGATACTATCTATATGTCTCAACCAATTGGCTTTAAAGATTCCCTACATCCTGACCATGTTTGTTTACTTAAAAAGTCCTTATATGGATTGAGACAATCGCCAAGGAAATGGTTTGAAACATTCTCCACGTACCTTCTCTCTTATGGGTTTCGTCATAGCACAGCAGATCCTTCCTTGTTACTTTATAACAAAGGTGCAGTTATGATTTATATTCTTGTGTACGTGGATGACATACTATTAACTGGCAATGATGACTCCACCGTCAGTCATTTACTCACTGCTCTTCATCAGCGGTTTAATATGAGGAATCTCGGTCCTATTTCCCATTTCCTTGGAATGCAGGTCCTTCATACTCCATCAGGTTTCCATCTTTCTCAATCTCGATATGCCGCTCAAATCCTAAAAAAAGCTGGAATGGAGAACTCCAAACCAATCTCTACACCGATTGCCTCCAAGACACTCTGCCATCCGTCTTCATTGTTATCTACTGATACAGCTGCACTTTACACACAACTCGTAGGATCTCTTCAGTATTTAACATTGACGCGACCTGATATTGCTTATACAGTTAACCGATTATGCCAATATATGCACCAACCTCATGAGGATCATTTCAGGCTGCTTAAACGACTGTTACAGTATCTCCAAGGTACTCTTTCCTTTGGTCTACCTCTTGTGGCTGCTAACCTTCATCTTCGCGCTTATTCTGATTCCGATTGGGCGGGAGATCTTGTTGATAGAAAATCAACAACAGGATACTGTGCTTTCTTAGGAAGCAATCTTATTTCTTGGCAAGTAAAAAAACAGAAAACAGTCGCAAGATCCTCTACTGAAGCCGAGTATAGAGCACTTGCAACGGCTGCCACTGATATTATATGGCTTAAACGCTTATTGGCCGAGTTTCAGATCAACTCATCAACTCCTACTCCTTTATTTTGTGATAACGTTTCTTCAATTGCACTTGCCAATAATCCTGTTTTTCATGCTCGAACGAAACATATTGAAATTGATTTTCATTTCGTTCGTGAATGCATTAAGAATGCCACTTTACAAGTTCATCATATTCACTCAACTGATCAAATAGCCGATCTGTTTACCAAAGCATTGTCTCTACAGCGATTCCACTTTCTTCGCGACAAGCTAACCATTTTGGATCCAATGGCTAGCTTGAGGGGCGGTGATAAGCAAGCCCACATATCACGTTCGGCTACAGCTTCCACTATTCTGAATTAGCAGAGAATGATGACTACCTTTATCTGACATTGAATCCTTACCGTTGGCTTCCAACTGATTCATCTTCACCGTTAATGTAAAGGCACTATGTTATTATAAAAGGTGTAAGATGAACTATGAACAAGGACATGAAAAAGGTTTCACTGTTCATCCTCTGTTTTCTCCTTTTCTTGTTTCCCTGCTTGTTTGATTCTTGCAGGTAACGAAGACAACAGTGAATGGAGTTCTACAGTGTTAACATGAATATATATTCCTTATAGGCATTTATTACAAATATAAATAGGATGATATGAGTATAAAAATAAAATATAAGAGTGAAATATTTAATATTAAAATTTTATATAAATGATAAAAATATAATATTAAAATTTGAGCGGTAGAAATATAAAAAGCATAAAATAAAATGATATGGATGTAAATGCCTTGAATCATTTATTCAAGGCAACTGGGTTGAGGCTCCCCACATTCCAGAAAAGAAAAAATTCTTCTCGCATACTACAAACAGAACAGAAAAATGAACCAAAAAAGGTGAAGAATCTCTTCTCAAGCAAGATAATTTAAAATATATATTCAGCAAACTCTGCATGCAAAGAAAGCAAACAGGTTTCTTATGAAAAAGCTGAAACAGCTTTCATCAAAAGTTGAAGATCAACCAAACAAATAGATACAAAAGGATTTCAATTCTCATTTAAAAATTTATACAGGAACCCCTGGTAAGGGAACAAGGCATTCCTAAGAACAGAGAAAGCAAAGCTGAATTCTAACAGAATAAGAGTACTCCAATATTATTCAACTTCTACAACTCTCTGCTATTCTCTCCTTTCTTTACTAGACAGATTATTGTAATAACTTATATAAATCAAAGAACAAGTGCAACCATCCTCTTGGCAGTTCAGAATCCCTTGGGGCATCCTTTCTTCTCAGCAGAGGTAGCCACTTCAGTAGAAGGTATACAATAATAGACTTGAATCAAGGAAAAGATAACCAAAGAAACAAATAACAAAATAATACGAATAGTTAGGATTTTGAGTGAAGAAGGTCATGACCAAAATTAAGATCAAGCCACCTCCTGCATCCTCTCCTGCTCTGAATAAAGCTGGTCCCAGGAGAGAAAATCACCAGGAACTCCCCCGTTAGGCTGATACTGTTTCTGCTGTTCCAGGCCCATTCGACCAATTGGTGGCAAAGCCATGGCTGCCGGTCCATCCTTCACCAGATGCTGGACCCAGGTGAGATCAGGCTCATCCGAAGGAGGTGCCTTGGTACCAAAATTGTTAGTTCCATTGCTGCGGAAATTAAAAGTTGCAGACTTTCTGAGCTTGTTCAACTCATCTCCTTGAATGCCCCAGTCCAACTTCCCATCAGGAGAACCCCAGTCAGATATAGCAATCGGCGAGCTTGGCGCAGCCGATGTTAATGGAGATGAAAGAGCTGGAATATGACGAGGAACAGCCCCTCGGTCGATAAAACTCTGACTCCTCTTTGCAAAAGCTGCCTGCCTTGAATTCATGATGGCCTTTGCCATCGAATGATCAAGTCCAAAGGAAGAAGACCCAGACACGGTAGGAGAAGAAGGCATATTGTGCCCATAGCCGGTAGCGCTCTTCAAGGAGAGACCTTGCAGTTGGGACAGCATAGAAGGGTCGATGGAGCCAAACAAATCATTGTAATCAGAAGCAGCGTTGAAAGAATTAGTCTTCCAGTTTGATCGAGGAGATGCAGCGTTGGTGGAGATTTCATCAAGCAGCTTCTGCTGGTAACCTTCGATACCCATCAATTCGAGATCGAAATCAAGGTCCCTTGCATTCAGGCTTGCCTTCAGCCGGCTACTAGCAGAAGAAGTATTCATCCACGCCGTGGCTGATGAGGAAGCTGAAGGCGACATCGGCATCATAAGAGCAGCCATCATGTCTAGAGAAGAAACGCCCATGGCCGATGATCTCGGAGAAGACAAAACATGGCCAGCGACAGAAGCTGTGGTGGGGTTAACCATCCTAAGCTCTTCCACCTTGTGGGCGAAAAAACAAACACGTCGGCTGCATCCAGTCTCATCTTTACAGAGACGAGTACGATACTGTGCTGGGTGAAGCCAACACTCAAACACCCCGTGTGCGTATTCACATGAATCAGCTTTCAGGCACGAACCTTTACGGAAATCGGGACAAGGAACGCAGCTATAAGAGTACTTTCTGGGATCGCGTCGCCGGGCGTTCTCGCCGGGGTGAACAAACGGGCACTCAGTCCAGTCATGGGAGTAAGCTCTCGAGCAAGGCTTCACCTTGAAGGTATACATACGGAACTCATCGGTTCCATAGATCCCGTTTTTGATGTCCGGGAGAGTTAAATCCGGAGGGTATTCCTTCTTCGAAGGAGAGGAAACCCTAGGGCACGGGGCTTTGAGAAGAATCTCAAGGTCTTTAGCCATGGAAGCGGAGAATTGTTTAGCGATAACGTCGCCGGGGCGGTTACCGGCGGCGTCCACAGCATCCACGTCAGCGGATGAATTGATGAGGAGCTTTACAACGTCGAGCGACGCCGGAGAACCACCGGCTGCGGCGCAGTGGAGAGCGGTAGCGCCATCGGCGTCGCAGCGGCGGTTAACGTTTACAGAGTTACAGCTGAGGATGTAGGACAGCACGTCAGTGCTGCCATAGAGGGAGGCGATCATCGCCGGAGTCCGATTAGCGTATGCCATGCGTCGTGTTGGAGAGGAGGTGGGGCCCACTGAGCGAGAGTACCATGGAGCGGAGATATCGAATGAGACGGCGCCATCTTCGACAGCTTGCTTGAAGGCGGAAAGGTCGTTGTTTGCAGCGAGTTCGAGGAGAAAATTGGATTCCGACTCCGGTGAAGCTAAAGGCGGCGGCTTTATGGTAGCAACGGCGGCGTCCATCAAGGATGGAGCAGAGGGAGGTGGAGATGGCTTTCGGGGACCTCGGCACATAGATGGAAGGGGGTGAAAAGGTGAGATCTTGCGGAGTTGAGATTGAGAAGAAGAGATGAAACAAATGGATGAAGGTGCAGCAATGGTGTTCTGCTTTTGTAGGCAAAGGATGGGATTAAATAAGTAAACGATGAACGGAAGAGAAGCCGGCTCGTCTTCTGTACCTCTCTATGGTCAAAAAGGCGACGCCCGAAGTTGCCTTCTTCGTACATCTCGTTTCTAAATGCAAATGATAAAAAATTGTGAAATGAAATGGAAATGAAGATTCGAAAGCTGCCCATAGAAGACAGGGCAGAGCGGGCAGAAAGGTGACGCGGCGTCCTTTTATTAGTAAAGGTTAAGATTTTTTAAAATAAATACTATACTTCTACCAATATGAAAAAATATATTTATATGAAAGAATAATTTCATATTTTATATTCTATTTTAATTTGACATCTTATTTATTAAATCTAAGTTATTAGATATTTTTAAATATAATAAATATATAAAAATATTAGATAATT